CCTTGGCGGAGGGGGCCGAGAGGTCCAACCCGCCATGTCGTGCGATATTTTCCCCTCCGCTTCCTTGCTTCACATGCGCCATATGATTAACGGGGCTGCAGGACCCTGCAGAATCGTCCCTTCCCCCGCGCGCACCCCCCGAAATCTGCAGTCTTGCCTGTGGTGACACTGCGTTAGGACGGTGGGAGCCCGGGCTGCCTCTCCCTCCCACCCAGAGGCTGCGTTCGCAAAGGAGGCCGGGAGAGGAGCCCTGCAGCTCTGTGTGGATCCATAAATAATGCCACAATTACCAACTGTAACTAAACATTTATGCAATCATTCAAATGATGCAGCATTACTCAGCCACGCGGGAGACGCAAGTTCAAGCCTGGCCTCCGGCACAGGAGAGACTAGGCCTGGCAGAGGTCTCCGCTGGCAGAGCCCTGGGGTGCAAGAGTCCTTGCTGTGCAGCACCCCCTGCTGGGCAAACTGGTCAAGCAGCCGGGAGCTGCTCGCCAGCTGTGGGTGCTAGAGGAAAGGTGCAACTCAGTGATGGGGACACCCCAGCTGACCGCCTCGAGCTGACTCCAGCCCAGCTAGCGGATGGAGGGAAGCCCAGTGAATCAAGCCAGCAAGCCCTGAACACTCATCTCTGCCCCAAACCTGCTGTGATGCATCCCCAGGCCAAATCCTGTTCTCGGGAGTCAGCAGAGTCACTCTGGATTTGTGCCAGCGCTGCTCGGGCCCTCTGTGAATGTGAACCCCAGACCGTGCGAGAGTAGGAGCGGGGAGGATCCGACGGTCGCATCGTTCTGTGCAACAAATGCTAAGGATTGTGATGTGGCTGGGTAGAGAGGGGGGTTGCGTGCACGGGTATGTAAGAAGGCGAGTGTGTGTGCATGTGTCTTAGTGACGGGAGGAGGAGGGGGAGTGGGAACATAAATACTTGGATGGACTCCAAGATTTTGATTTCAAAACACAAATGATCTGGGCAGTATTGTGCCCTTTTACCCTGGCAGAACGTCCCAAGGATTTCATGGGGGGGGGCTCTGATTTTTAAATCGGTGGCATACTCTTGCCCTTTATCTCTCTGGCTAACTTGATGGCAGTGATGGGAAGCCTGCCGTGCTGGAGACCCTGCAGCCGCTCTGAGCAGCATGGGATGAAACACTCAGGGCAGTTTCCTAGCACTGCTTGTTGGGTGCAGAGTTTTTTAAAAGGGGTTTTGTCTGTCGCCATAGTAGGGGCTTTCTGAGCTGTCTGGTGTCCAAGGACTTTGCAATAGGTGGCATTTAAAAATCTACTGGGATGTTACTGGCGCTGTGTATGTGAGCTGGGGGAGTGGGGGACGGATGCTTTGAGCAGATCCTTGAGACTCGCAGAGACTCAGTGACTTCCCGGCTGCCTTACAAACCAAGCTGTGGTCCCAAGTAAGTCGATGGCAAGACTCCCACTGGCTTTCTCACAGCCAGGACCACTGAGGGCCAAGCTGTTCCAGGACCAGTGGGCAAGGACTCTGGCTGTAGCCAGCAAACAGCAGTACTTCCAAAGCTACCCACCAACAGGAAAACTAAGTTTTAGGGGGAACAAAAATTGTTCCTGGTTATTGGTAAGAGTCAGTGAAGTCTTGACTGAAGAGAAGAGGGGGCATCCTGCCTTGGGTAGGGGGTTGAATTAGATGACCTCTAGAGGTCCCTTCCAGCTCTACCTCTCTTTGATTGTATCACTTTTAAAGGTTGAAACCATTCATTGCAACATTTCCTAAACCAGGGGTAGCCAACCTGCAGCATGTGTGCCACAAGTGACATGGGCAGCATCTATGTGTGGGACGCAGCAGTCTGGGGAGGGGACTGGCAGATCAGGGAGAGAGCAGAAAGCAGAGCAGCGGATCAGGCAGAGGAAGGGAATTAGAGTGGCATTCGGGGAGGGTACAGGGGCTAATTTTTGGCATGCCTGAAAATCCCAGAGGTTCCTGGCTGGAGGGTTTTGCCCCTCTGCTCAGGGTCAGACTGACTGGACATTTGGGACCAAGAAGACTTTTCTCCCATGGTCAGGTCGACCTCACCCGTGTGTGTGCTCGGGGGCAGGGGGTTGCCTGCCTTGGTAGTGGGGACATGGTCCAGCAGTTCCTTGTATCTCTTGAGCATTTTTTAACAAACTGCTTCCTGCCCTTGCGGTGGCTGGGTGTTGACTGTGCCGTTGTCCCCCTGCTTTACCTGTGGCAGGTGCAGGTGTTCTTGGGGTTTGGGGGCATTGTGTCTGGTGGAGGCAGAGGGTTGTTTGTGCAGTTTTAAGAATCGAGCCAAACACTTGTCTGAGATAGCTTAGATAGCGATGATCCTGCCTTGAGCAGCAGGTTGGACTAGATGACCTCCTGAGGTCCCTTCGAGCCCTAATTTTTATGATTCTATGAATGTTTTATAAGTTTGCCAGCAAGGAGAGAGCAAGGGAGCACCGATGATGAGTCCTATGGGTCCCAGGGCTGTCACTTTGGACCACCCTGGGGACACCTTCTTGGTGTAGATCAGCACATTGCATTTTCCTGTCTCCCCCCCAGTCTCTCCCCACCTCCACGTGGCACTTTTCCCTGTCTAACAAAGCCTGATATTCTCAAAAATTTCTCACTCGTGTCAACCGAGGATAGAGGAGGAGGAGAAAGCTCCCGCCTCTTCCATGTTACTCACTGCGGATTGCAATGAGAGGGGAGATAGAAACGCAGGCCAACAGAGCGAGGGATGTGCAAGCAACGTGTGTTTTAAACCTAGGAACACATGGAGTGTCAAACACCTAATTAATGACAGGGTAATGTGAGTGATTGCAGCATGTTCAGATATTGGCAGTAGGGGCAGGGGTTTGATGGCACCTACATACAGGCAGGAGGCATTTGGGGACCATTAACAAGGCTGTCTTTGACATGCAGCCAGAGCCCTGCACCTTGCCTTCCTCTCAGAGGAATGGAGACTTTTCCTCCTTCAGTGGCCGGGGTGGATGTCTGAGCCCACTGGACTCCCTTCCAGTTTGCCCTAGGCTCTGACAGCACCAAGACTCCTTCCTGGACCTTGCTGAAAGCCTTTCCCAGCAATGGTTGCTGCTCACACACAGCTCCCAGGCCTTGACAGAAGGCTGGGGCTCCATCCAGCCCACAGAAGCAGCAGTGACCTCAGTCACGTATGGAACGGGAGGCGGCTGTGGCACGGGTTGCAAGCTGGAGCCAACTTGGCTTGCTCTGTGCTTGGGGAAGGGGCAGTGGAGGGGACAAAACTAGAGAAACTGGGAGTAAACAGGGCTTGAACAGGGTTCTAGGCTAGTTTTGCTGGTGAGAGCGGCTGGAGTTGGACCACGTTTGCAAACCACACTCTGTCTGGTTACCCAGACGTGACACTGGCTCCCCAGTGTTTCCTACCTGAGATCCCTGTGCTGTTCAGCCATAAGGGCAGGGCAGGTTGTTCCTATTAATGCCTGTACAGCTGGTGTCAACCCCTTCCTGATGAGATCCTTTGACCTAGGTGCTGCTAGATTTGCAAGACCTTTTGGATAGGGGCAGCCTCTTCCAGGAAGGGCCTGAGCGCAGCTTGAGGGGATCAGTAAAGCCTCCCTCTCTTACCCCAGTACCTCCTCACTATCCCCAGTGGCCTCACGCCTGCTTCATGCCCCTCTGAGCACATCTGCATACACAGCTGGTGCAGCATGGAGGCACTCTATGTAGCTCTCAAGGAACCAGCTCAGGTGCAGGACACAGGCCAGCAGGGCCTATTTTCCCTGCTGAGAAACCAAGATAAACTAGGGGGAACCCACACTGTTGTGGCAAGGCTGCTTCTGGTGCCCAGCTGACTGGGTCCGTGCCTGCTCGGGCATCCTGACAGCGCCCTGTATTGCATGGTACAGACAGTGAGCAAGAGCAGGCCCAGGCAGGTTTCAGGACTGCAGGGACACCAGACCAGCAAAGCACCGCAGCCCCCAGTTCCTGGTTCCTCCACGAGGCTGCATGTCAGAGCTGCGGCTGAAGAGGCGGCAGTTATGGTCCCAGATCAATCCCAAAAAATACTGAGGATAAATACCTGTAAAGACTTGATGCAGCAGCAATGCAGGACCAGATAAGTATTGAAAGATTTAAGGATCAGAAAAGTTCTGAGAGCTCAGAAGTGCTTTGCCTTCCCTGTCCTGCAAGTCAAGAGCCCCATCCTTTCACAGGCTGAGCACCTGACTCCTGCTCACTTCAGCAGGAGTGGGAGGTGCTCAGGGCTTGGCTGGGTCAGGCCCAGACAGCTGAGGTTTATTACCGGAAAGTTAAACCTACTTAGAGCAAAGTGTTTTCTTTGTTCTTTATTTAATGGCTTCCCACTGAGTCTGAGCTACCAAGCCTGGCTTTGAGGGGTCTGGAGTTCAGCCCCAGCTGTTTGATGTGTTATGCTTTGCTGGCATTGGCTGGATTGGCCTGTTAGGTCGAAAGCCCATAATCACCACATTGGGATTCAGGCTTAGCTCCTGCTTTTTACACACACGCCAACAGCACACAGAGAACACAGGCTTCCAATTTAAGCCCATTTCTAGCCCTCAGGTACTTATGTGTCTCACGTCCCCAGGGTGGCAGAGCCCTTCACAACCTAGTGTCATACAGAGCCTTCAAACACGGTGGCTATTATTCCCATTTCACAGATGTGCAGAGAAACTTTCTGACTTTCCCAAGGAGCCTTTGTAGGAGTAGGGAATCGAAATGTAGCTGCTTGAGTCCTGGCCCAGAGCCCTAACCACTGCGCCAGCCTTCCTCTTGTCACCCAGTGCCCCAGAGTTGAAACCGTCAACCACAAAACCCAACAATCTCCAGGCTCAGGCAGTAATTAATCACCACCCAAGCCAAATGGTATAAAGCAACACGTTCGCAGGCAAGCCATAGCTAGCCAAAACCACTCAAATAGGCTCATGTCTCCTTACTCCGATAACAAACAGCTTACTCTAGGAGACAGAGCCATAGATTGAATTTGTGTTACGTCCCCATAAATAGGGAGAGACTGCCAAAGGCTCTCGTACGAGTTCCAACGATCTTGTGTTTTCATCGTATTTGCAGTGTTTATTGATAAATAAGAGAGGAAGGAGCCGCTAGCAGGAGGACTGAGCAGATGGCTGGCGTTCGAGCTGGCTTGAAGACGCAGATTTCCGCACGATAGAGGGGCGACGATTGCAGACCGTGTTTGCAAGGGGCTGTTGGGTATTGGAGGAATCCCCTGTCTTGTTTAAAAACTCCGGCCACGTTCCCATGTTCATAACCTGCCCCTGGTTTTAAAGGGAACAGGCTTCCTACCCCTGTTTCAGTAACAACGCCTTAGCTTGTGACAGCTGAATGAACCACGTGAACTCTACTGGATACAAGAGGCTGCTGTGTGCATCTCTCAAAGCATCTCTCTCTGACCCCCTCCTCTCATAAGTGTGGTAATTCCACTGCCATCTGCAGAGCTCCATCGGCATAAATGAGAACGGGGAAGAAGCAAGCTTGGTCTATGTACGCTAGATATGTGGGCTCTGAGTGGGCTTTTGGATCAAGCCCTCAAGGGGATGAGAATCTGGCCCCAGGTTTGTGGTTTCTAGGGACCTGGTTCTCTTCTGTCTCACGCTTGTTCAGACAAGGAAGACTCGGTTGAAGGGCTAGGGCTACACCAAGTCAAAGCAGAGGGGAAACAAAGCCCTGGGGAAAGGAAATGTTAGTGTCTCCTATTCTTCTCCGCCCCCAGAACAGGCCACAAGAGCCTTGAGCGTGGCTGTAAGGGGCTGAGGGTTTGAGCCAGGTAAGAGCCGAGGGGTTCAGCTGAGGCAGCCTAATGCGGTTTTCCACTGGCTTCCTAAGCACCAGCGCAAGCACACGTATTGCCTTGACCTGGCTCCGTCTGAGTCTTTAAAAGCATGGGTGACGAGGAGAAGCCAGCTCCAGGCTCTCTGAACGCAGCCAGGAAGCCTGTGTCTCTCCTCCGACACCCGTCCTGGGTGGGGGCTTTGCTCCTGCCTGCTGTACAGATGGCAGCACTGAGCTAAGGCTGGCTCTGGCTACAGCAGGCAGGCCAGCCTTGCCCTGCTTGACTCTGCATTGCTTGTCTTCTGTCCATTAGCTGCAGCAGCTTAGGATGTGGGCTTAGTACTTGTTGGGACATGCTGGCTTGGCCATCCCATGTTCTCAGGCTGCCCCCGGGGCAGTGGCACAAATCGACTGCAGGACTGCCGCTGAGCAGGACCTGCATGGTGCAGAAGTCATGCTACGGTGTCAGCCACACCAAGACGCAAGAAGGGACTGAAGTGAAGCATTTGGCACAGAGAGGACTGGGGAATTGGTACGGGGTGGGGGGGACTAAGCAGGAGTGGTGCCTGGATATGGACTGCAGGTCTGGACCTAGGAGGAGTTTAGATTTTTTTTAATCAGGTGCAGCCAGTGGGGGGGGATGCAGGGTGCAAGACCTACAGGATATCAGGCTCTCCATGTCTCTGGCTGAGACAAGAAACTGAAGCACCCAAGCAAGTGGCATCTTTATCTTAGGCAAGTTACCCAGGGACTTACAGCCACATCAGTAGTAGAGCTGGCCAGAGAACCCAGGAATCCTGTTTTCCAGCGTCCTGTGCTCAGTACCCGTCTGCACCAAATACACTGATCTGTCTGCCAATGGCCTGTGTCTCTCTGCAGGTAAGGAGCTGGAGGTGGGGATGTGTGAGATCACAGCGCTGGACAGGGACCTCAGCCACCCCAGGAGGATGATTGCCAGGCAGACAGCGCGGTGCGCGTGCAGGAGGGGCCAAGTGGCTGGCACGACCAGGGCAAAACCAGCCTGTGTGGATGGTAAGAGAGCACCAGGCCTTCCCAAACTCCCTGTACTGACTGCTCCAGAAAACTGGGAGCCAGGGTCACCTGATAGCAGGAAAACCCCAAGACCAAGGGTGACCTTGGTTCACTGTGGTCAGTGAGAGCTTTGCCACCATTGGCTTGAAAAGCTCCCAGCAGATATACGCTAACACATAGGCAGGGCCAGCTGGGGCTTCTGGGTTCTCACTGGCAGCCAGGGTTGTCACAGATGTCGTGGCAGAGCTACTTTACAGCTGAAGCAGCCGCAGAGCTCAGATGCTCCAAGATCACAGGCCTCTCCCACGAGGGTGAAAGGAGAATCCTAAGAGCTGCTAACAATACAGGGCTCATGACACACAGGCAAGTAGTTCTACTTCTGTCCAGCAGAGGGTAGCAGTGACCCATCCAGCCTGGCTGGCTCATCATTACCCTGTTAAAAGACTCTTGGTTAGGCAAAGCCCAGCATTCGGGGCTATTGGCAGAGCAGTGTGGGGCATGGGCACAAGGAGAGTATTGCTGCCTCTCCCCAACCTGTCTCCAGCTCCACTGAGGGAGGAGGAATGAGGTGTATGAGCAAGACATGCTCCAGGTTCATCCCCCCCCAGCCCTCAAAAAACCCTCTTCTCCTGGGAAGAAACCACATTGTGGCTGGATGAGGTGTGTGGCCCTGAAGCAGCGTGGCTGCCTCGTGGCGACTTGACTATTACAGGCCACGTTCTGCTCCTAAGTATGCAGCTGTAACCTGGCTGTCACCACAGGGATTATACTGTGCTAGGTCCTCCAAGGCCAGACTCTCCAGGCGTCTGCATGGAGCACTGAGTTCTTCGGCAAACCCGTCCAGAGTGAGGACCTGGGTGCTGCCAGGCGCCAGAAAAACTCAGGGCCTCACCGGGAGCAGAATTCATGAAGCTCTGCCCCTGATGGCAGGTGTTGGAAGAGCTGCCACAAGCTCTTGGTGCACCCTGACTCTACAAGGGAGCTCCCCTCCTGTCCAAGACGGCTGGGTGGCAGGGAGGGAGGAGGCCAGCTCTTCGCTGAAAGCAAACCAGGAGCCCCCCGAGCACCTGGTGCTTGCGGGAAGCCGTGCAGAGCCCCTGCTGTGTGGGCATGTGTTATACCATGTTGCTACGTGCTGTGACTTGCAGAAGCAACGTGCAGCCCCTGGTGTGGGCGGGACGTGTTGTCTTGTGATGCTGCGTGTGGCAAACGTGTCCCTCACCAGTGGGCACGTGTTGGTGTGTGTGTATGGGGTAGAGGAGGTAGGAGGGGGGTGAGAGCCCCTGGCTTCAGGCAGCCGCTAGCTCGTGTTAGTAGGTGTTAAAATGGTAGCGACTGCGCAAACTCTCCCTAATGGTCTCAATTGTGTCTCCTGTTCTCCTCATGCTCCATCCCCTTCCTGCTTTTCATTTGGCACTTGTTTTCTCTTTTGTTCTCCTTTGTGTATCTCTCCCCTTCTCCCATGCTGTCTTTGGCCTGGCATTCCTTAATCGTTCCTGCTGCGTTATCTTGGGCCTTTTTTTGCTTCCATCTCTTCCTCCCCACATCCTTCCTTCCATCCCCACATACACCTATCACCCTTCCATCCATCTTTCCCTATCCTACCATCTCTCTCGCTCCCTCCTGCTCTGCTCCCTCCGCTGCCCTGCCTGGCAGCTCAGCTCATTGCCAGTAAACAGTGGTGCGGGATGGAGCCCTGCGACGAAGGAGAGCAGTGCACTTTGTTAATCAATCGCTCAGGATGGAGCTGCACAAGACGACTGGGCCGAATAAAGACCGTCACTGTGAGTACCTCTTCTCTGGCTGGCAGGGACGGAAGGGGCAGCCAGCAGCTGCTGTCTCTCAGGAGGTGTCCAGGATGGTTGAACAGGGGGAAGGAAGTAAGCATGATGGGCAGTGTCTTCCTAGGGTAAGCTGCCACCCCCCGCCCAGGTATTTTGGACCTCCCCGCAGCCCCCTTCACTTGGTTATAGGCCATTTTGAGGACTCCCAGTATCACCTCCCCCAGCTGTTTGAAGTCAGACCCCCAAACCTCATCATCTTAAAGAACATGAGGTACTTTGAAGCAATCACTGTAGTATCAGGGCTCCTGAGAAACACAGAGGAGCCTGCATGGGGTTGAGGCAGATCAGCACCATTATTATCACCACCTTGGAGACGAGGGGAAACTGAGGCACAGAGCTGGGGGAGTGAATTGTTGCACGTCACAGATGTCGTCGCAGAGCCAGGGGCTCCCACCTCTCCTGGCTTCCAGCCCTCATATGTGCCCCTCTCCTGGCATAGAGGTGGGGAGGGGAGGCTGTGATATGTGTAGACCTGGCAGGAGCAAAAGTGTTTGGGTAGGGGGGTAGGAGATCTGCGAGAGACAAGGCATCATCTGGACTGCAAGGGACTCAGATTGCACCATGATCTACAGATTGTGATGAGAGAAATGTCAGGGAGAGAAGCAGACCTGTGGCTAAAGCGAGCGTGGAGAGCAGCCGTCACGAAGACCCAGAACGAGGTTCTTCCTTCCCACTTCCCCTGAGAGCACCGGGAGGCAGCTCCGGGCCCTGCTGTCAACAGGAATCAACCTCACTAATAGGATATGCCCGGGGCACCGAGGTACTGCTCACTTACAGGACCCCAGCTGCTGGAGCCAGGGGGACTGGGCTCTCCAGAGGCTTTGCAATGCACCTGCTGTGATTCCCTGTAGAGATGGGTTTGAAACAAAGCCTCGTTACCCTGGGACAGAATAGCTGAGTGTTAAGGAAGCACCTGCAGGGCCCGCACCCAGACGCAGCTGTGTCCCACGAGGAGATGTTCACCTCAGGCTGGAAGGGAGGGTCATGGCATGACCCTCGAGCAGCTCCACTTCACCTCCACCTTCCTGGAAACAGAAAGGCATCGCTTCCCTCCCGGGTGTGGTGTAAAAGCTGGGTACCTGCAGCACAGAGAGGAAGGGCAACGGGAAATAGGGCACCTGCCCCTGCCCTCTCCTGCCTGCTCAGGGAATCCCTCCTCTTCAGACAGGTCTCGGCCCCTAGCCAACACAAGCCTGCAGGCATTTTAAGCCTATGAAACCAGCATATGCTATTTCACGGCTGGTGCAATGCAGCCCCTTCCAGCAGGGGTGATGTAGGGAAGAGGGCACATCAGGCTGTGGGGGAGCTTGTAGCCACTTCGGTCTCCCCCTCCTTCCAAAGGGCATAACCTCACCCCCTTTCAGCATGCAAGGCTTGGAGACGTTCTGCCAATTTGGCCTGCTGCAGAAACCAGGGCCAGCTGTGCAGCTCTGGGCTGGATCCCTGGATGCCTCCCCCAAAATGGGGGCACCAGGATCAGGCACTGAAGCAGGTACTTGTCTCTCCTCCTTGGCTCGCAGCGCAGAGCGGTTGGAGCCCAGGGGCTGTGACACGGGGAGGGGGAGGAGGAGCCGGCATCCATTCATCTTGTATTCGAAGGCTGCTGAGGTGGAACGACTCCTGCAGCAGCATTGCCCAAATGAGCCTTCCCATCCAGAAGCAGCTGCCTGGCTTCCCTCTGTGCGTGGCCTGGTAGTCTGTGCTGCAGTCAGCTCAGCAAGTGCATAACAATGAACGGGGAGCTGGATGCTGCTGGCAGGAGCCTCGGAAGTGCATCGGGATATTTTATTAATGTCAGAGACATTAAGACTTGGAGGAGAGTGAATTACGCTCCCCGCAGCACAGGAGAGACAGGCACTGTCAGGCCACAGCTATTTGTCTCTCAGGAAGGCGGCAGCGTGAGTGCTGCTGTCCTGGCCGCTAGCCATGTCAGCATCATGGAGTTTGTTTCTCGAGGCCCTGGGGGACCTGTGTCCTGCTGCATGGGGAGCAATTATAACTGGAGGAAGCCCGTGCAGAAACATGCATCTCCAGCTGCTTCAGAGCGAAGTGTGCGCACGGCGCAAGCTACCCGAGTTGTGGGCATGGGGAAGTACCTCGCCGGCGGAGCTCCCAGAAGCGATCGGTGCAGGAGACCAGCCATGCAGAGTCCTGTCTCCAACAAGGGTTGACGCCAGCTGGAGCAGAGGAAGGAGTCAGACCCCCAGCACTAGGCAGGTGTGGGATAATCTGTCTCCACTGCACCCTCTTCTTGATCCCTAACAGAGCTGTGATACCCCTGAAGCGTGAGGGTCCACAGCCCTTTTGAATGACTCTGGATAATCACCCCATCCGTCTCCGTCATTCTCCTGGCCTCGGCAATGTCCTGTGGCAGGGAGTTCCACGGTCTAGGGATGCAGGAAGTACTATTTTAGTGGTAGTATCAAGGCTGCACCCACACAGCTCTCTGGAGTGGTCAGTATAGAGATGGCCTGCTATCTGCAACGCCAGGCTCTGTTCACAGGACTAGGGCCCAGGGCTGTAAGAGACCAGAGCTCTAGCAGCCTGTATTCCCAGCTTCCCAGCGCTCCAGCTCCTGGTCTGATCCCACCTCTATACATGTCTTTTGTCTGAAAGCCTGGCACGCAGCATAAGCAAATGCTGCCCTCGCTGTGGGGAAGGCGCTTCCCACTGCTGCTGAGCACTGCATCTGAGAGCAAGCCACTGCCAGGCTGTTAGGGAAGATGAATATGCCCCGGGCTGCAGGGAGCAAGGACCAGGGGGGAGGAGAGGTGCGTTTGTATTTATCAAACACCTGCTCCGATTTGCCGAATCCTGCCCGATCTGCACAGCCCTGCTTTGCATTATTAAATATTCATGTCGCCGGGTCGCCAATGTAGAATACGCACATTCCTGCTGCTGAATCATTTATGTACAATCAGGGGCGACGCAGAATCCTACTCATGCTCCACCAGGGAGGGACCTCCCCACTGTTTACTCTGATCCATTTGGCTACACAAAGACGTGCCAGCTTGCTCCTGGAGTCTTAAAGGAGCAGCACAGGCTGCCTCTCCCTTGCTCTCCTCCCAGCGGTGTGTGGGGGGCATCTTCTCTGCTGGGATCTGTGAGCCCCCAAATCTTTCAGCAAGCCTGACTGGGTCCCCAGGACCAGAGACTGGGGAAGAAGGTGCCAGAAGGAAAGCAGGCACGCTGGAGTCACACAGCTTCGGGAGGGGGTGCTCAGCCTATCCAGTACGATGAAAAGTCAGGGGCTTCCCATGTGTCTGCCAAGCTTACCCAAACTGGCACCCATCAGGGCTAGCCTGAAGGAAGTCCTAGATAGGTCCCAGTACAGAGAAAGGTTTCCTAGCATGGAAAGCTTAAGATCCACTGGCTCCATGGTTTGTTTCTTGCTTAGGCATGGGAAGTGCGTGATGCATTGCCTGGCCCAGTTTATCAAGGACAGATGTCTTATTGGCAAGCAGGCTACTGCCCCAGCCTGGCCTCGGGCACCCAGAGGTACAACTGCCTCATCGTTACCAAGTGAAATAGGTTCATTGCTCTCATTCTGAAGAGGCCGGGCACTAGAACAGCAGCTCAGACTTGAGCGGTCCTGGCAGGACTGTCTAGGGCCTACACAGAGGGGCCAGGAGTGTCTGGCCTCCTCCTGGAAAGGTTAATGGGGATGAACCCAATGGGGTTGTTTGGAAATGAAGCAGGGCTCTGCAGTAAAGCCCCTTCAAATGAACAGAGAACGGGGGCCTTTCTGTGGCTCTTGGAAGCATCCCACCGAAGGGTCTGAGTTGTGTCAGCATCTAGAGGAGGGGCCCAGAGAGCTGGTAGAAAGGTGATGTTTCCTATGGGGCCCTTCTGTGGGTTTCCCCTACAAACGGCATCTCTACTGGGGCATGGGGTCCCGGGAGAGAGCTCACAGCCTGTGTCATCCCCTTCCCCAGCCTGGAGGGGAGCTTAGCTCAGAGAGGAGAAGCCGGAACAAATGGGCTTAGGGTGATAGAAGATGCTGTCTGCCAGCATGCCGCATGTAGAAGGAGCTTAACAGGATAACTCCAAGCTGATTAGACACAGAGTCAGTGTGTGTGTGTGTGTGCATGTATGTGTGTGGGCACCTCTCCCTCTACCCGCTGTCTTCCTTCACATGTCCTAAAGGCTGGGGCCAGCCTGATTTCTGAGCCACATCTACCCCCAGCATCTACCAATGCTTGCCATAGCCTCACATGGCAGGGGAGAGTCCCTGCTGCACCTCTGCTCTGCAGGCAGCCAGGCTCCCAGTGGGCAGTGCCTGAGTTTGCCTTCTGTGGTCTCCTTCTCACCCCTCTTTCTCAGTTCTTATTTTTTTCACCCCTTAATCACATACATTGTGGGTTTTGGTCCCTGCCCTCATACAGGCAGGTGGGACCTGTGCCATGGCACTGGGCTGCATTCAGCCTCACCAATAAGAAAGCCCATGCTGGGGTAGAGGGGCTGGGCTGGGAAGCCAGGAGGCAGCCGACTGGCCTGGGATTTATAGGTCTTCTGTGCTTTGTTCCCCCAGGTCTCCTGACAGCAGCAAGTCACCAGGTGCAAGAGCTGTGCCTCCACTCCTGGCTGCCGAGGCAGTCCCCATGCCACCTTCCTGGAGCCAGGGGAGCCCTGACTGTCTGGTATCCACATGGGTCAATCTCCTTGCAGTGGGGCTTTGTCTTGGCTCTGTGGACTGCACCCTGGACCTGGAGCCACCTGGGCAGGGGCCTCACTCCATTGCTGCCAGGACCGTGCAAACAGCTCAAACAAATGGGCCGGATTTCGTTTTATTCCAGGCACTCTGGAGGGTTTTTAACTGAAATGCAACTTTCTGCAGATCTTTTTTTGTGAATGGAGGGAGCAACCTCTTGGCATCCCCAGGGTCAGAGGTCTGGTGGATATCTTTGCAGTGGCTGGGAGTTGCCTGGCCCCCCAAGACATGGAGGAAAACAGCTTGGACAGATGTTTAATCACAGCAGGGGCTGAGAGTTGGAGAGATGCACCTTGAAGAAAATCGTCTCGTTTCCCCCAGTCTCTGGAGTGCAGAGCGTGAGCCATCCCAGAGGGAGTCCCTCTTAAGAGTCGCTGAGGTCTCCTCATCCATGGCTTCCCAGCCTATTCACAGCAGTTTGTACAGAGCAAGAGTCCTGCGGAGTGGGGCAAGCCGACTGCCCTCCACTTCTCAGCACGGCATCCCCGGGGGCCGCTGTGCTGAGCGGAGACAGTGATGATATACGGAAGATGAGCCGATCTGTTTCCATTTGCAGTTTGTCCATCGGCGGCTCCCTGTTTCCCCCGGTGTATTCCATGGCCCCGAACAAGTGGCTGAGTCGTCACTAGAAATAAATCCTCGGCCTGCCATCCATTCCCAGGCAGTCTATCAGTGGGCAGGCAGCGGAAGCTGGAAGCCGAGCCGTGTCAATTTGTTTTGACCAGTCATGCAGCCTTGTGTTTGTGCCTGCAGCTGTGGGAGTTGAAGGGGGTCTGTGTCAAGAGTTTGCTGCCCTTGGTGGCTTCCACCAGTGTCCCTGCAAAAAAACATATTCGCTAGGAAAGAGTGAGAGTGGAAGGGAGGAAGCATGGTGGAAGCAGGCAGGCTTCCCTGCTTGGAGGACACGTGGGTGAGGTGTTCGGCTGGAGGTGGAGGTATCATGGGGACACAATGTCTGACGGTAGAGTGGGGATGCGAGCTGGTGGCTGGGTTCGGAAGGGCTTGTTTGACTCCTGGCATGGATAGGACCTCAGTGTTAGAGGAGGCTTTGGGCAGCCAGGTGGGGCTCTGCAGAAACACGTTAGGCCTGACTTTGGGGGCTTTGTCTAGAGCAAGCTTTGGAAGGCATTGGCCGGCATGTTGGCAGCCTAGCATAGATAATGCAGTGTGCTTTTAATGCAGGTAACACCAGAAATGTCCAATCCCCAGCACAGAAACACCCTATCCTATATGAAAGGCACGCTGTTTTATCTACGCTGGGCTGCAACCTGTTAGCAAATACCTTCCAAACCCCAGGTTCCTCTAGGCAGGAGGTGCTGAATGTCCACAACCCACCCTGAAGCTAGTGGGCATCGAAGCTGCATAGGACCCCTCAGGATCAAGCCCTTTCTCACTGTCCATCCTGACTTCTCTATACAGTCCTACAGGTAACATAGTGCTTGATGCTGGAGAAGTGAAGGCCCTTGCCCCACAGAGCTCGGAGGCAGGGCTGAGCCAAATCCCTGGTGAGAACCTCACCAAGCTGTGGGAAGCTTGTACCGTGGGGCGTGTGTGTCCTCAGGGTCACTGCCACATGGAGATCTGTGGTTTGCACTGGATGTCCATGCCACCAGGCCTCAAAGAAGAGGTGGGAAAAGGGAAGCATGAGCATATGTCACTGGCAGACCAAGGGGACAGCTGGACAGAGAGCAGAGGCAGGCGGAGGGGCAAGAAGAGGCTTGTGTGGAATCAGGGGTCCCCATGACACTGTGATGCTAAAGAAGAGTCCCACTGATAAGATCCAGCCTGATCCCTGAGCCACAGCACCCTGTTTCCAAAGCAGCGTGCTTGTCTCGGTGCCCCATTCCCAGAGCAGACAGGCAGCTGCGTGGGGATTTCCCTATAGGGTGCCAGGCTCTGGCTTTGGTGGCAGTGCACAGGGTGACCCAGCGAGACACCGTGCACACCCTATAGAGCCAGCTGCTGCCGAGGGGACCAGCCCCTCCGTCACCTTGTAAATATTACCAGGGCTCCCTCTCGCCTCCCGCCCCCTCCCATCTCATTGTGAGTCGGACTCCTGGGTCCAAGAGCCTTTTCCACTGTAAGAAATTTCCAAAAACTTGTAATGTTGACATCGTCAGGAAATAAAATTCTAACTTTATTAATCAAAGAGGCCCCTCCGGGCAGGCGCTTGTCTCTTTAGTGACTCTCCCAGCCCCCAGCCCTGCCCTCGGGGCTGCTGGTCTGGGGCAGGGGCGGGTAACGTCTCAGGAGTTCATGTTAATGGTTCAGGAAGCAGCTACAGAACAGACCTGTCTGCTGGAGCAAGGAGCTGCCTGGCCCTGCAAAATCTCGGCTAATGGGGTTTCTGTCCCTCCTCCAACGCACCGCAGCTCTGCACTCGCGTTTTCCAGGCTTGTGGTCCAGCTGAACGCAAGGCACTGGCTCGAGCAGTGCTGAAGCTGGTTGATACACCATGCTTAGCTTAGCTTATTAGGCTCATTAGGACAAGGCTTGTCGCATAATGTGGATCAAGCTGCTCAGAAAAGTTCAGGTTCAAAAGCCACTAACGTCTTCTCTGCTGTGATTTCACTTGGAGAGAGACTGCTGGGTTTACTGGAGTCCAGAGGAGTTTGATAGTGATACCACTGCAGTATCCGAGCAGTGCCCGTTCTTTAATTCTCCTCCCCGTGGCCTTAGGGGTGGGGCGAGGTCACCATCTCCATTCAGAGCAGGGAAAAGTGAGGCACAGGAAAACCGACGCTGGGCGAGGAGCTCAGTTGAAGATCTGGCCAGGAGCCCCACAATGGGTGCTGAGGCCCCAATTCCCACTGCAATCAGCATTTAAGGCCTGGCACCATCGAGTGCTCCCATGACCAACAACACTGGGGCAGCATCACTTCACTCCCCTTGCCCGCCTGCAGCCATGACAGCATGGGATTGGCACCAAGTTGCCCACGAGGCTGGGCTGGGGGCCACTGCCCAGGCTAAATGCAAGGCTGCTGTCCTCCCTCTCTGCCAAGCTGCGCCCCATCTGTCTCTGTGTGAACATGTGCCACAGTAGCTGGATGGCAGCAAGCACCAGTGCTCAGAAAGCCCTGTGGAGAGAGCAGGCCTGAGGCAGGGCTAGGGAAGCTGCCTCCTTGCTTTTGCAGCGCCTCTCAGGTGCACTTCGCACTTCTCTTCCATCTGGGCGAGCTGCCAAAAGGAGCTGGGTAAAGCAACTAGCCAGCAGCCTTTAAATACCTGTCCCTTCCTGCGGGGCTCCGGTGTCTTCCCCGGCTGCAATCAGAGTTCAGAGAATTGGTCTCCCAGGCACTAATTCATGTCTCGGCCTAATTACCATTGATTGGATTTCCACGTACAACTGTCTCTGTCATTATCACAGCACTGCTCGGAGATGTTCTGCGCGAGGGGCTGGTAGAAAATCCATTTAAAAGCAAGAGTGGCACTGAGCAGCCCAGCCCAAGGGCCTTTCACCATAGAGCCTCATATGGCGGGGCAGAGTATCGCTCATCTAGAAAGAGACTGTCCAGCAGGCTCCATGTTCATCCAGAGCCTGCCCCAAAGTCCAGCAGAATCAGCAAGACCCCCCCCCCCCCC